TCTCTCTCTCTCTCTCTCTCTCTCTCTCTCTCCTCTCTCTCTCTCTCTCTCTCTCTCTCTTTTTATAAATAAATAAATATATAATACATATATTGTGTGTGCGCGCACGTTTGTGAGTGGGTGTACACACATATTGCGTGCGTGCGTGCGTGCTTGTACGCGTGTGCGTGCGTGCGGGCGCGTGCATGTGCGTGTAATAAAATCTCGGCACACGCTGCAGCCTCTAATCTTTCGCTCCAACACGGCGCTCCAACATCTACTCGCTTTTATACGTCAAGAAATCACGTCTCACCGCGTTAGCAGTTCTAAAATAATTTATTGTTTTTGCAGCGGTTAGTTCCGTATAATTACCTTCGATCGGCATAATTTCCTGAAATGCCGTACAGAAAAAAAAATTCCAGAATATTCCCCGAAAAAAATAAGCTTATACATAATAAATTATGAAGCGTGGCGGAGTTGCGACGACAACGATGACGATATCGACCCAAGGACAGTTTTTAACGAAACGTCCTCAATTCTATGGCCGCCTATATCGAACGAATGCGGGGGTCAGAGGTTAAAATTGTTATTTAACAAGCACGGGTGGCTCGTGCATAATTTATGTGGCTGCGTCTATGGAATTGTGCGCTGTCACTATTGCAGCGTGGATGCATCCCTTTCACTATCATCCTTCTATAGAGATATCCGACTTTAGTTGTTGAATAGCTAGTCCAAGCTGCACACTCCAAGCGTCGCGACCAATTTGTGACGCGCTAAACGGTTGGCACACGTAAGCGTCTGTGTGTGCATGCGTGCGTGATTGCGTGTGTGTGTGTGTGTGTGTGTGTGTGTGTGTGTGTGTGTGTATGTGTGTGATGTGTGTGTGTGTGTGTGTGTGGTGGTGAGTGTGTTGTGTGATGTGTGTTGCTGTGTGTGTATGTGTGTGTGTATGTGTGTGTTGTAGTGTGTGGTGTATGGTGTGGGTATGTAGTGTCTGTGTGTTGTGTGTGTGTTGTGTGTGTGGTGTGTGTATGTGTTGGTGTGGTTGTGTTGCCGTGCGTGCAGGCGTGCGTGCGTGTGTGCGTGCGCAGTAGTAAAAGATAACTGATACTTGAGAACATAAAAAGCGTTTGTAATTAGCAAAATAAAAACAATTCGAATCATAGTTATGCTGTTCCTTACATTCATGTGATAAAATTATATATATCATACAATATGTATTATTTTGCTGTCTGCATGTTTTGAGAGATTATGACATGCACAGCGTAATTTCCTGTCTTTCTTCTTGCCTGAAAACGAATTAAACTAGGGCAACGTTTGTTGTAACGTTGGCAAAGTGTTAACCAATTTAAAATAAATGACCGTGTTAGAGTTTTAATATGAAATAGAATTGTCGTTGAGCGTGTTTAAATTATATTCGCACAAATTCTTGCAATTACTAAAATATTCAACAATTTTAATTTTTAAGAAAAAACATTACCCGGAAAATCTTATCAACTTTGTCTAACACGTGACTTCACATTATTGGTTTCTTTATTTTACTATCCCTTTTAGATACCTCCACGCGCAC